CTTTTCAACTTTTCTGAACTTGACTTCGCTACACAAAAACCTCCTCACTCACCCATCCAAACAATTAAATTTTTAACATGCAAGCTCAATAATTTTTTATTTGATATATAAGATAATGTGTTATATAATATAATTCTTTTCTCTTCACTCATTTTAAAATTTGAATTTCATATTTTTAACTTAATTGTATTAAGTTATTAATCACTTAAAATACCACTTAAAAATATAAAAATATAAATTTTTAACTACTAAAATATGTAAAAAATTTTCTTAACCACTAGATTGTGAGACAAAATTTCCAAACCTGTTAACATTGTTACTATACTCATATACTTTTTTGGGTGGGGAGCTCGTATACTTCATTTCATATCAATTTCAGAGCTTTTCCTTTTAAACAAAAGGAAAAGTGAGATGATAAAATATAGATGGTTTGTCTAACATGTGTTTTAAGGCATAAGTTAACACTGATTAATTAAGATATTTTAATTAATTTTATATAAATTTGCATATCATATTCACATTTTTTTTTATAGATTTTAAGTACAAATATAATATTTTATTTTATCTTTACATTTTTTGGTTGTTCAGGAATAATACAGGATTCGAAGTACTCAACCTAGGATATAACTCCATTTCATTTTCGAGACCTTTGGAGTTGCCTTCACAACCTCATTTCAACATTGCAATCTTAGATGTATCCTAGAGTAGCTTATTGGAAAATATTCCTGTAAACATGAGTTTAGTCTTTCCCCATCTTATAGCCTTAATCATGTCCAAAGATTCCTTGCAAGATTAGATTTTTGCTTCTTTTGGTGATATGATATCATTAGAAACTTTAAACCTGTCAAACAATCATTTATGCAGGAGTATCCCTGATTCCTATGGCCATTCAAGCTCTTAAACAGATTTAGACTTGTCCAACAACTGGTTGTTTGAAGGAATACTAGAATTGCTAGTCCTAGTTTTCCCAAAAATCATTTTGAGGGTCCTTTTCCTACAAAATTTTGTGGCCTGGATATCCCTGTATTTCTTAACCTCTCAAACAACTACTCATCTGGCTTTATCCTAGAATGCTTCAATCCATGTCAAATAACACATGTTAATTTGAGCAAGAATAGACTGACGAGGCCATTGACAAAAGCATTCTATGGTTGCTCTTCTTTGGAGATGTTGGACCTTATAGGGAACAATCTTACCGATCTAATTCCTGGTTGGATAAGTAGCCTACCTTCTTCATTGAGCATTCTTTTCTTGAAAGCTAACCATATTGAAGGTGATTTGTTAGTTGAACAGACTAAGTATGCAGGATCTTTCTTAATTGTCATAATAAGATTCATAAGAAGATGGTGATTTCTCAATTGTCACCTACCCCTAATCCTGAGGTTCCCAAAAGTAGAGCAAATGATGTCTCCCTTGAGGTGTAGATGGATTTTGCAAGGAGGTTAATGTTGAGAAAGTTGTTAGACAAGCAAGGTTTTTCAAGTGGATTTGCCTAGAATGTTGGGGTTAATGAGGGTGTGAGGAGGAAAAAGCTTTAAAAGAGGCAAATAGCATTTATGAGCACGTCCTTAGAACATTATCTCCTCTAAAGGTGAGCACCTATGTTAAGATGTGAACACATTTATTGTAAATATTTTATATTATAGAATATTTTCTGTGTATACTTTATACCTTAGAATATTCTCTTTGTAAACACCTATATATAGGCTATTGTACATACAATATTATTCAAGAAAGCAATATACCTTTCTTCAAATATTTCTCTTTTTTTTTTTTCTATTTTTAACATGGTATTAGAGCAATAAGCTTTTGGTTCTTTTCTCTTATCATCATTGTTTGGTTTTTTTTGGAGTTGGATTTTCAAATTCATTTCAGATTTGAAACTTTGTCACTGAGATCTCTTCTCCTACAGATTGGATTGTTGATCCTCGATTCTCAAGCCCTTTCTGAGTATCGTAACTCATCTTGCTACTACTATGGTTGCCAAAGAAGTGATAGATCAACCTAATGTCAATCTTGAATCCCTAAAACAGGTGATATTGAATCTTTTTAATGCTCATACTGCCTTATCTACTTCTCCAGGTACAAAACCTTAGTATTTTGATTTTGGTTGTTATAACCATATGTCTTCAATTACTAGTCATTTCTCTTCATTGTCACCAAATAATTCCTTTCTTGATATTTATTCTATTAATGGTTCCCCTATGAATGTTAGTCACATTGGCAATATTTCTACAAAGTCATTAACTTTACCAAGTGCCCATATCTAGTTCCAAAACTTAGTTATAATCTTCTATCTGTCGATCAGTTATGTGATTTTGGTTTTGAAATAACATTTTCTACTCATGGTTGTCATGTGCAGGACCCACGAACAGGAAAACTTCTCGAAACTGGTTGCAAGGTGGGGCGTTTGTTTGAGCTCAACTATTTGCATATTCTTGATAATAAAATGGATACACCATCATTTCCAAATGATCGATTCATCCAAACCCTACTTTGTGTTGTTGAATTAAAGTCTTTTCAAATTCCATATCAACAAATCTTCCAAGCCTATGTTGAAGCAAGGTATGTCGATTGCGACGTGCATTATATGGGTTGAAGCAATCCCCTCGAGCCTGGTATGCAAAGTTTAGTGCTACTGTGAGTGAGTTTAGTTTTACTTCCAGTTCATATGATATAGCTCTATTCATTTGTAAGACTACTCAGGATATGGTTCTTTTACTTCTTTATGTTGACGACATGATTATTACTAGAGATGATGTCGCAAGTGTTGAGGAACTAAAACAATCTCTTAGTCAAAAATTTGAGATGAAAGATCTTGGTGGTCTAAGCTATTTTCTGGGGCTTGAAGTCATCTCTTCAGATGATGGCTACCTGCTTTCTCAAGTAAAGTATGCCTCCGATCTTGTTTCTAAAACTGAACTTAATGATAGTAAGAGTGTTTCTACACCTCTTGAACCTAATGTCAAGCTTACTTTTATGGATGGCTCTCCACTTTTTGATCCTACTCGCTATTGGCAATTAGTTGGTAGTTTGGTTTATCTTACCACGACACACCCTGACATAGCATATGCAGTTCACATGGTTAGTCAGTTTATGGCTGCTCCTTGCTCCACTCATTATGTAGCGGTACTTCTCATTATTCGCTATGTTAAGGGAATATTGTTTCATGGACTCCATTTTTCTGCTAACTTCTCCCCTGTGCTTCGCGCTTATTTTGATGCTGATTGGGCTGGTGATCCTTCTGATCACAAATCTACTACCGGTTACTGTCTTTTCCTTTGTAATCCTCTTATCTCTTAGCGGAGTAAGAAACAAACTATTTGATCTCGTTCTAGTACTAAAGTTGAGAATAGAACTCTTGGTGATACTACATTAGAACTTCTTTCATTACGATGGCTTCTTGAAGATAGGGCATTCGTCAGCCTTCTTCTACTGATTTATATTGTGATAATTAAAGTGTTATATAGATTGCTTACAATGATGTCTTCCATGAACGTACAAAGCATATCAAGGTTGATTGTCACTTTATTCATCATCATGCTGCAAAGGGAATTGTTCGTTTGATTTTCATTAATTTTGCTAATCAGCCTGCTGATTTGTCTACCAAGGCTCACTTCCCTGGACACTTCCAAACTCCTCTTTCCAAACTCAAGTTGGTTTCATCATAACCACCTTGAGTTTGAGGGGGATCTTAAGATGTGAACACATTTATTGTAAATATTTTGTACTCTAAAATATTCTCTTTATATACTTTATATCTTAGAATAATCTCTTTGTAAACACGTATATATAAGTCATTGTATATACAGTATTATTCAAGAAAGCAATAAACGTTTCTTTCAAATATTTCTCTTTCTTTTCTATTTCTAACAACCTACAACAATATTTTGGAGATGTACTCAAAATGTGATTCTATGAATGATGCATTTAAAGTTTTTGACAAAATGCCAAGTCACAATTTGACTTCTTGGGACACCATGATAACATGGCTTCCTCAGAATGGTCTTGGAGAAGATGCCCTTATTTTATTTACCTAATTTAAGAAAGTAAGGTTGAAACCTAATGGTCAAATGTTCATTGGAGTTTTTTCTGCTTGTAGTATCTTGGGTGATATTAATGAGGGAACGCTACACTTTGAATCCATGAGCAAGGATTATGGTATTATCCCATCCATTGAGCACCATGTAAGTGCAGTTGAAATTTTGGGTGGTACAGGATATCTAGACAAAGCTTTGGAATTCATTGAAGAGATGCCATTTGAGCCCAGTGTTGATGTTTGGGAAACTTGGATGAATCTCTATAGAGTTTGTTAAGTGGGAAAATCCCACATCAAGTATAAAAATAAGAAACTTGTGGGTTAAATACAAGGAGGGCTACTCCACCTATTGCCAATTGGTCTTAGGTTGGATGCAAGTCTTGTGTTGAGCCCACATGCAGGATTTTCACATGGTATCCGAGCCCAGGTTCTACCCTGGGAAGCCCGTTGTTAGCCCACCTGACAGGACTCGAAGTTGCCCACCTGACAGGACCCGAAGTTGATACTAGGCTTACATTTAAGGGGGCGTGTTAACCCACGTGATAGGATCCGACATTCATAGTGGGCCTGCACATGAAGAGGCGTGTTAAGTGGGAAAATCCCACATCAAGTATAAACATAAGAAACTTGTGGGTTAAATACCAGGAGGGCTACTCCACCTATTGCCAATTGGTTTTAGGTTGGATGCAAGTCTTGTGTTGAGCCCACATGCACGATTTTCACAGAGTTCATGGACACTTGGAGCTAGGGGATCATTGTGCTGAGCAGATTGAGCAATTAGATCCCTCTCACTTGAGTGAACTGTCAAAGGCAGGTCCTGAACCAATGAAAGCCTCTGATCTTGCAGAGATAAAGAAAAAGAAGTTGTCTAGTCACAATCTTCTGAGAATTAAGGGTATGTTCCGTGAGTATCGAGCAGGTGATAGATCTCACCTTGAGAGTGATAAAATCTATGCGTTGCTAAGATGTTTGAAGGAACAAATGAAAGAATTTGGTTATATTCCAGAGACAAGATTTGTACTGCATCATATAGACCAGGAAGGAAAGGAAGAAGCTTTTCTTGGTCATAGTGAAAGGCTTGCTGTTGTTCATGGTCTCATGACTACTGCAGCTCGCTCACCTATTCGAGTAACCAAGAATCTTCGTTTCTGTGGTGATTGCAATACTTCAATGAAGATCATTTTAAAGATTGTTGACAGACAGCTCATAATGCGAGATGCTAAGAGGTTCCATCATTTCCAGGATGGTCTGTGCTCTTGCAAGGATTATTGGTGAGCAGGATGAAATTTGAGGTACCATTTATCATAACATCTGAAATATTGTATATGTGAACATTTTTATTTTCTACTATGTTTGTGAAACAGAATCATTGTTCCTAATGAAATGATCATGTTCTCTTTGACAACATACTATAGATTACATGTTTGAAGTTTGAACTACGTGAACAGTCATTCTGTTTGTTTAAGTTAATGAGAATTGAGATAGTTTTAGGGAAAATTTTCTTCTTGAAGTAAGCCAAAATTAGATAGCACTTTGATTGAGAAACATAAAACATTATTTCATGCAGATGACTTGAATCCTTCAGAAGTGGTGGCTCTAATGTCCGATTTGTTCTTTGTAGCCTCCAAGTTGCGACTTATCACAAGCAAAGTAGCTCTAAATGTGACTTTGAATTAAAAGTGGCTGCTAGAGCCCGACAATGTAATTGTGATTGGATCCATTATTTGGCTTTCTTCTGATTTTTGGTTGTTTCTTTCCTATATTTAGGATTTTATGTGGTAATGAAAACCTTCTTCATGCAAAAGTACAAGATGATGGAGAAAAGGCAGGTGTTCCTGAGGAGCTACCAGTTGTGCAGAAAGGGAAGCACGGTGGAAAGGATGAAGGGATCGTTGGTGAGGGTGAAGAGGGTGATATGGTTGATGCTCGGATCGGGTTGGTCCGGTCCAGGCTGTCTAATTATATACAAAATCACATTGTAGAGGGTATAGTTTAGTGGTAAAAGTGTGATTCGTTCTATTACTCCCCTTGATAGTTAAGGGGTCCTTCGATTTTATTCTTAATTTCGATCAAAACTTTATTTCTTTTAAAAGGATTAAATCCTTTACCTCTCAATGAAAGATTGAAGGAATAATATAATTCTCGTCATTTGTATCCAAGGGTCAATTATAAATTGAAAAATTGGATTATGGAATTTCAAAACATAATTAATTTTGAATTGGATGAAGCCTTCCAAGTCAATAAGTATTAAATAAAGGATCTATGGAGAAAGAAAATTGTATTTTTAATCATAACTAATCGTCACTCAATCTTCAAAAGGATAGGTTGAAGCAAAACAGCTATTAAACGATAACTTTAGGTTATCAAAGATATGGACATCTTTTTTATTTTAACTTTTAGCTCGGTGGAAACAAAATACTTTTCCTAAGGGTTCTCTCAAATAGAAATAGGAAATGAAGTAGAAAGATTATGCAAATCTCATCTTACACTACTGGAGAAGAAGATTCATCAGCTTTGTGAACCACTACCACGGCTACAATCACATCTCTTCCTATTTCTGATAGTTTTAGTGAATTTTGTTAAATTTAACTGCAAGATCCACACACACACACAAAGGGAAAAAAAAAAATCATAAATCATTTTTAGGACATTGTTAGTTTAGTTTAGTAGTTTCATGCTCCCTCTGCGACGCGTAAAATTTAAGAATTTAGATTAAATTGACTCTTTTCAACAAATCATCATATATAACTAACGATCTGTTGATTTAAGTGGAAAGAATTTGGTTTTTCTTAAACTAGATTTCGAGTTCGCGTCTTGTGAATGGAAAAACAAATATTGGAGAGCTTCCCCCCATATGGAATTCGACCCAACTCGATTCCGGATTAGTCAAGATCCAATATAGTTTCTGGATACCGAAAGGTTAGCACAAAAAAAAAACAAATCATCATATATATACAAATATTATTATTTCCTTAATATTTGGCAAACATTATCTTTAGTCGTTTCTATTTATATATTAATTAGTAGTAGTAAATGGTAGTGCGGATGAAAGGCAGGCTGCAGCTCGGAATGAGCTGGCACATGCTTAATTAAGCTGAGAAATTCAAACGGTAATTAAAATTGAAGATAAACTTCAAAAATTCTAATTAAAAATGCTGAAATACTCAATATGAACTGGCCAACTTGTTTGGTTACATTGGTCATTGGATATTAAAAAATGGGAAACTGAAATGGAAGTAAAACACATCCCATGGCATGGCATGGCATGGGCTTTACAAAAAGTCATATGAATGAAAGGACAGCCATCCAAAAAAAGTTTGAATGAAAGATGTACAGAGACAAAGCAAAAGCAGAAATTTATTTTACAACTGGACTTGCAAAACGTGTTTTGCTTTGTTACCACTAGTAATAAGAGTTTGCACTGCCGTTTAGGATAGGGCGAACCTGTCCGTCCCCATATTAGTGCTTCGTCTCCTTTAATTTAAT